CCAGGACCCGGCCTGCCGCACTCGGGGCGATCAGCGTGGCCTCCCCGCGCGCCGCTGGCGAGGGGCGAGGCAGAGGCCGAGGAGGAGGCGGAGCAGGGGAGGCGGGGCGCGAGCCATGAGCCACGAGCCTCTACGAGGCCGTGGGCGCGCGCTCTGCACGCTCCACGCGCCACCAAGCTCGGGTCGGGCGAAAGGGGGGGATAGCAAAGGGGGGGGGGGGAGAATCAGCTCACGCAGCTGATTTTCCCGGCGCCTCCCGGCGCCGGAGGCGGCTATGTATCGAGGAATGGGCCCCTCGGTGGGGCCGAAACCAGCTGCCTGCAGATGTCGTAACCCCCCCTTTCCCTATCCCCCCCTTTCGTTCGGCCCGACAAGTTGAGTAGGGCTGGGGGGTCAGGTCTGCAGAACACCCCAAGCGGACGTCGAGTGGCGCAACCAACCTGTTCGGTCAAGCTGAAACTGATGCACCACAACTGGCGCCAAGCCAAGTGTTGGAACATGAGCGACTGGATGGATGTTGTGCATCTTCGTCGGCTTAACCGACGAGGCGTTTGACCACCTTGACGTCCCCTTGTTGGTGGTCCTGCAGAGGAAGGCGCTCTCTGGCCCTCGGCTCTACTCACCGCCAAGCAGCCACGGTACTCGCCGAGGCCACGCAGACGGCGCACCGCCAGCTCGACCCCCGTGGGAAAGGCTGCTGTGGCGCTGCTTGCACCAACTGCACGAGCGCAGGGGTCGTAGGCGGGCGCCTGCTCTTCAGGATCATCGCATGAATGTCGTCCACGGCCGTGGCCACAAACTTGGACTCATCCTTGGCATCCGCTTGACGTTCTCCAATAGTTTCATCGACTTCGACGTCGTCACCTTCTTGAGCTTCCTGCAGCTCCAGACGGCCCTAGAGGGCTCCAAGATGGCCCCAACACGGCCGAAGAGAATTCTAAATGGCCAAATTCACGGGCCCAACTGGCCAGAGGCGTGATAACATCTCGGGTAACAGGAATTGCGTGTTAAGCTTCGCGGGCGTGTTGCGGGCCGAAAAAGAAGAGAGATAGAGAGAGAGAGATAGAAACAGAAACAAAAAAAAAAAAAAAAAACGGCAAAGCAACCTAACAGCGACGTGTAGAAGCATATCTGAAAGCATTCCCCTTAAGATTCAGATGAAAATCCAGTTGTAGAATTCTGCTGTTCTCGCAGTCGTAGTCGCATTCGCGATGACAGTCGCAGCGGCAACGGCAGTCGCACTCACAGCCTCAGCCTCAGCCTGCCTCAGCCTCAGCCTCAGCCTGCCTCAGCCTCAGCCTCAGCCTCAGCCTCAGCCTGCTTCAGCCTCAGCCTCAGTCTGCCTTCAGCCTCGGCCTCAGCCTCAGCCTGCCTCAGCCTCAGCCTGCATCAGCCTCAGCCTCAGCCTCAGCCTGCCTCAGCATCAGCCTGCCTCAGCCTCAGCCTCAGCCTGCCTCAGCCTCAGCCTCAGTCTGCTTCAGCCTCAGCCTCAGTCTGCCTTCAGCCTCGGCCTCAGCCTCAGCCTGCCTCAGCCTCAGCCTGCCTCGGCCGCAGCATCAGCCTGCCTCAGCATTCAAAATGTGGCCCAGGAGTGGAATTCTGGGAACTAGAAGAACACGAAGTGGCCTACAGTTGGCTCCGGGCATTCAAAATCATGCCCAGGAATGGAGTTCTGGGAACTTGAAGAGCACGAAAGGGCCTACAGTTGGCTCCGGGCATCCAAAATGTGGCCCGGGAATGGAGTTCTGGGAAATCGAAGAGCACGAAGTGGCCTACAGTTGGCTCCGGGCATCCAAAATGTGGCCCGGGAATGGAGTTCTGGGAAGTCGAAGAGCACGAAGTGGCCTACAGTTGGCTCCGGGCATCCAAAATGTGGCCCGGGAATGGAGTTCTGGGAGCACCAAGAGCGATTTTGCGAGGATGTCCCAAGCGATTTCGGCTTCGACGGCAGCCGCCCCGGGTCCCGCCCCGACCCCCCTGAGGAGTCATGATGCTCTCTTTTGAGACCACTAGAAACCTATCAGCAAAAGCTGTTAGGTAAAAAGAGAGAGAGAGAGAGAGAAAGAGAGAGAGAGAGAGAGAGAAAAAGAGAGAGAGAGAGAGAAAACAAAAAAAGAGAGAGAAACAAAAAAGCGAGAGAGAGAGAGAGAAAGAACTAGAGAAAGAGAGAGAGAGAGAGAGAGAGACAGAGAGAAAGAGAGAGAGCAGAAGGGGATGGGACACGAGGCAAGGAGGAGGGAGGCAGAGGGGGGGCGGGCATGGGGGAGGGGGGTGTGCGGCGGGGGGGGGGTCGATCCCCCCCCCCTGAAGTTCGGGGGGGGCACGATTCGCCCCCCCCCCCCCCCCCCTCCCAAGCGTCCACAGAACGCGCTCTTCTTGAGGGACCAACGAAGGTTAGGTCGTCGGGCACGCCCTCCTACAAGGTTCAGGTCGGGCATGCCCTCCTACACAGGCTGACTTGGGAAGAACCACCCGCCGGCCCCCCTTGCGGGGCCACCCGGCTGCGAACTGTGCAAAAGCACAAGGCAAAGGAAGGCCCCGGGCCCCCCCGTGCGCAGCCGAGGTCCCTGGGCGGCACCCGCCCGGCCACGTCCCCCGGGGCTCTGGTGGCCCTGGGTGGCCGAAACCCTGTAAAACAGAGAAAAAAATAAGGCCCTGGGGCCCCCCATACCCCACCGAGGTCCGTGGGCGGGAGCCCCCCGGCCACGTCCCGCGCTGTACATATATATATATATATATATATATATATATATATATATATATCCGCCGATCCGGCGTGTGAGTTTCAAGGAGTCTCAGCTACAGCCTCGAGGCTGAGCCTCAGCCTCTGGGGGGGTTGCCGGGGTGGCTCTGCCGGGGAAGGGGGGGTGGGGGGGGGGGTGCGAGTTTCCGGCGGATGCGTTTTTTGACACCCCTCACAAGGATCGTGGCCTCCGAGGGGGTTCCGAACTCGAGTACCACCCCTCCCGCACCAAGAGGCTCCGAGGAGGCCTCCAAGAGGCCCCAAGGGGCGCAGAAGAGGCCCCCAAGAAGCCCCAAGAGGCTCCCAAGAGACCCCCAAGAGGCCCTCTAGTGGCCCCAAGAGGCCCACAAGAAGCCCCAAGAGGCGCCCAAGAGGCCCCCAGAAGTCCCAGCCAACCACGAGATCCCAACCAGCATCCATGAGGCCTCTGACCCACCACCCACGCACGGTGGCGGGATAGGCCGACGGCCACTGGATCCCACGCCCCCTGCTTGCAGGGGTGCACGGCGTGCTGGACGTTTCAGGTTTTGGTTTTGGTTTTTTTTCCAAAAGAACTTCCCAGTGGGCTCCGGCAGAACCCGCCGGCCACCCGGAATTTCCCCAAACGTGCTCAACGACCGCAAAAAATCCTCCAAGAACGGCCGTTTCGCTCGGGACATCCTCAAAAAATCGCGAAGATGGCCCAAGATGGCCTCCAAGTCCGCCCGAGATGGTCCAAGACGGCCTCCAAAACGGCCCAAGAGAGTCCAAGACGGCCCAAGACGGCCCAAGAGGCCCCCCAGAGGCCTCCCAGACGGCCCAAGAGGCCTCCAAGAGGTCCTCCAGGAGAGTCCGAAGAGGCCAAAATCATTGATTTTCCTTTGGTTTTTGAAGGATTTTGGCATTTGCGCCTTTTCGGCTCTCCGACGGCTCAAGACGGCCCAAGAAGCCCCCAAGATCGCCCAAGAGGCCCCCAAGAGAGCCCCATGATGGCCCAAGTGGCCTCCAAGATGGCCCCTAGAGGGCCCCAAGAGGGCCCAAGAGGCCTCCAACACGCCCAAGATGGCCTCCAAGACGCCCAAGATGGCCTCCAAGACGGCCCTGGAGCATTCCAAGCGGGCCCCAAGTCGGCCCATAGAGGCCCCCCAAACGGCTTCCGACGGCTTCAGACGTGCCAGGAACCCACCAAGATGGCCGAAGTTGGCTCGAAGCTGGCCCGAGACGGCCCAAAAAGCCCCAAAGATCGCCCAAAGCTTGCCCAAGAGGCCTCCAAGACGGCCAAGATGACCTTCAAGATGCCCACGTGTTCCCCGAAGGCTTTCCAAACCGATTCGGGGAACACGTGGTCCGATAGCTTGGCAGGTCTGGCCTCAACGTTCGGCCACATAGGCGCTTCCAAAAAGGCAGGGGGCGGCGGTGATTCGCCGTAGGCGTCTTCGATCCGCCGCCCCCTGCTTGCAGGGGTGCACGGCGTGCTGGATGTTTCAGGTTTTGGTTTTGGTTCTTTTTCCAAAAGAACTCCCCAGTGGGCTCCGGCAGAACCCGCCGGCCACCCGGAACGTGCTCAACGACCGGAAAAAATCCTCCAAAAAACGGCCGTTTCGCTCGGGACATCCTCAAAAAATCGCGAAGATGGCCCAAGATGGCCTCCAAGTCCGCCCGAGATGGTCCAAGACGGCCTCCAAAACGGCCCAAGAGAGTCCAAGACGGCCCAAGACGGCCCAAGAGGCCCCCCAGAGGCCTCCCAGACGGCCCAAGAGGCCTCCAAGAGGTCCTCCAGGAGAGTCCGAAGAGGCCAAAATCATTGATTTTTCCTTGGTTTTTGAAGGATTCTGGCATTTGCGCCTTTTCGGCTCTCCGACGGCTCGAGACGGCCCAAGAAGCCCCCAAGATCGCCCAAGAGGCCCCCAAGAGAGCCCCATGATGGCCCAAGTGGCCTCCAAGATGGCCCCTAGAGGGCCCCAAGAGGGCCCAAGAGGCCTCCAACACGCCCAAGATGGCCTCCCAGACGCCCAAGATGGCCTCCAAGACGGCCCTGGAGCATTCCAAGCGGGCCCCAAGTCGGCCCATAGAGGCCCCCCAAACGGCTTCCGACGGCTTCAGACGTGCCAGGAACCCACCAAGATGGCCGAAGTTGGCTCGAAGCTGGCCCGAGACGGCCCAAAAAGCCCCAAAGATCGCCCAAAGCTTGCCCAAGAGGCCTCCAAGACGGCCAAGATGACCTTCAAGATGCCCACGTGTTCCCCGAAGGCTTTCCAAACCGATTCGGGGAACACGTGGTCCGATAGCTTGGCAGGTCTGGCCTCAACGTTCGGCCACATAGGCGCTTCCATAAAGGCAGGGGGCGGCGGTGATTCGCCGTAGGCGTCTTCGATAAATGCTGAGTGAGAGGAGGGGAGGGAAAAAGAGAGGAGGGACGAGGGCGAAGAAGGATCACATCAGTCGGAGCGCCCCGGATCGGCGGCAATGGCCGAAGGCCACTTCAATATATATATATATATATATAAACATATTTGTGTTATACAATTATATCTAAATCTATATATATATACTCGCATCAGCACTATGTTTTAACCGTTCCAAGATATCCCTCCTGCAGAGGGACATACCCGACTGAATAGGGGAACGAACAATGACGTAAACATACAAACTCGGAGGTCCGCGCGGATTCCTCGGATCGGCGCGGGACCCCCACTCCCAGGCGCGCGGAGCGCGCCAGGGGCGGCGCCGGAGGCGCCGCCAGGGGACCCCGGCGCGGATCCGAAGAATCCGCGCGGACCTCCGAGTTTGCATGTTTCTGTCATTGCTCGTTCCCCTACTCAAGACGAAGAGGAGCGAGAAGGACGACGACGACGCTCGCCGCCCAACGCCGACGACGCCGCCGAGCGGCCTGCGGCGGCGGCCGCAGCGGCGGCCGCGGCGCCGTGCGGGGCGGCGGCGGCGCCGCCACCCTCGCCTGCGCGGGGTTCGCGGGCCGCGGGCGTGCACGGCCGCGCCGACGACGACGACGACGTCGACGTCGACGACGACGACGACGCTCATTATCATCAGCATAATCATCATCATCCTCATCATCCTCATCATCACCACCATCGTCATCATCATCATCATCAACAACCACAGCATCATCAGCAGCAGTAGCATCATCATCAGCATGAGCATCATCAACCGCATCAGCCTTAGCGTCAACATCAGCATTACCAGAACCATCACCATCAGCATCATCATCAGCACCAGCATCACCAGCTTCATCATCAGCAGCATAATCATCACCATCATCAGCATCACCACCACCACCACCGCCACCACCACCAACACCATCATCATCATTATCGTCATCATCATCAGCATCATCATCATCAGCAGCATCAGCATGATAATCATCATCATCAGCATCAGCAGCATGAGCAGCATATGCATCATCATCAGCAGCATCATCATCATCATCAGCAGCAGCAGCATCAGCATCATCAGCATCATCAGTAGCATCAGCAGCATCAGCATCATCATCAGCAGCGGCAGCATCATCGTCCCCCTCCTCCTCCCCTCTCATCTTCCTTCTCCTCCTCCTCCCCTTCCTCCTCCTTTTTCGACACCTTTTCCTCCCCCTCCCCATGTAATGTTTCTGCTCATCCCAGAGGGCCTTCGACTCGCACACTGTCAGTGCCATGCGTGCCATGGCCTCCGCCTTCCTGGAACGAGTCACATGTTGTCCCCCTGATCTCTCGTCTCGTGCTGCCTGTGTTGTCTCAGCGAGCAGTATTGCCCAGCCTGCTGACTGTACCGACTGGGCGCGCTGGCCTCGGCCAAGCTGGTGGCGAGGAAGGCACGATGCAGGCCGCATCGGCCCATGGGCTGGCTCGCCCGTTGGTCTCTGTGCCGCACGCCTGTAGGGCGCCCGCGGCTGTGGCTGTACCAGTTTTCTGCCGCTGTCCGACGAACATCGTTGGACGTCGTCTGTTGTCGCAGGGAGCTCGCTCGCGGTGCGCGACCTCCATCGTGGGCACAACTGCTGCCCCCTCGGTCCTGCCTCACGGCTCGCAGAGGAACAGGATCCTCTGCCCCCTCCCTCCGCGTCATAATTGGAAGAAGAAGAAGACGAAAGCGCCAGAAACATAAAATGATAGAACTCCGCGCAGATGTCTTGGATTCGCGCTGGCCCACTGGCGCAAAACTGTATGTTTATGGCGTTGTGCGTTCTTCGAGTGTGTGGGAAAACGTCGCGGGCTCCCACCGCAAAGCTACCGAAACCCAGGAAGACTGGGTTTGGTGGAACCTGGTTTAGGGGGGCGCCCCCCCGCCCCATCTCCACTAATCGGAACTGCCGTCGCCCGAAAAAAGACAAGCTACGGCAAACCCGGTTTAGTGACTCTGGCCAATTGAGGGGCCCCGGGGCCCTACCACTAACCGGCTGCCCTTACCCGGGGTCCTGGCCGTACCCGACACTGTACACCCCTCCCCCTCCCCGAGCCAGCTCCTCCCGCTGCCGGCGCCCCTCTGAGGTTCGCGCGGCGAGGTGCGCGGCGGCGGGCGCGCGCGGGGGGAGGCAGCGCCTGCGGCGAGCGCGCGCAGCTGGTCCGCCGCGGCCGTCTGGCCGAACCTGCCGCGCGCCAGCCCATCCTCCAGCACTGCTCCTCCTCCTCCTCCTCCTCCTCCTCCTCCTCCTCCTCCTCCTCCTCCTGCTCCTCCTGCCCCTGCTCCTTCTCCTCCTCCTCCCTCCTCCTGCCCCTCCTGCCCCTCCTCCTCCTCCTCCTCCTCCTCCTCCTCCTCCTCCTCCTCCTCCTCCACTTCCTCTCACCTACAAATATATGCGAGGTCTGTCACACCGTCCTTAGCTCTAGGGTGGTCGCAGGCCGCCACCTCTCTCGGTCGTTGATTCGGGGTTAGTGTCTTCCTGATGGGGCTCGGAAGTTTCATGGCCTGGTCCCTCCTGATGATCTGAGTTTCATCAGCACCATCACCAGCAGCATCACCAGCATCATGCTCATCAGCATCATCATCATCAACATCATCATCATCATCATCATCATCATCATCATCATCATCATCGTCAGCAGCAGCATCATCAGCATCATCATCATCATCATCATCATCATCATCATCAGCATCATCATCATCATCATCATCATCATCATCATCATCATCATCATCATCATCACCAAAGCATCATCATCATCATCATCATCAGAAGCCTCATCATCACCAGCAGCATCATCATAATCACCAGCAGCATCACCACCACCATCACCACCACCAGCGTCATCACCATCATAATAAGCATCACAGTTATAACGTAATGATGATGATGATCATCATCGTCAGCATCATCACCATCATCATCGTCGCCGTCGCTACTGTCATCGGCGTCATCGTCATCAACATCATTCTCATCATCTTCATCATCAACATCACCTTTATTATTATAGTCCGCCTCCTCCGTTGCCTGATTATCGCCTTCTGTATTATCATACGCCTAAGACCCATAACCATCATCACCATCAGCATCAGCACCACCGCCACCATCATCATTATCACCATCATCATCATCACAATCACCATATTCATGACCACCACCCTAATCGTTATCATTACCAGGTCATCATCATCATCAGCAGCATCACCATCATCACCATCACCATCACCATCATCATCATCATTATCATCAGCATCACAATCATCATCATCCTCATCAGCATCATCATCAGCAGCATCATCCTCGACATCATCCGCATCAGCATCATCATTCTCCTCTCGGGCGGAAATTAATGGGGGAAACAAGCCTGGTGGCAACTGGAATGCAGCGCAATTGGCCCTGAAGGGGCCCAAAGGTCGGTCCCTGAACCCACCTGGCTCCAAAGCGCGATCGACAGGCACACTTTTCTTGACCTCGCATTCATGTCCAAAGCGCTATCTTCTGGCTGATCCTCTGGCCTCCGCCTCTCCCAGGAACAGTCATGGCCCGACTTCCGAGATGCGCCCGGCGGCCGTGGCGACGCGGACCCGTGGAAGACCGCAGACCCACGAAGGCTACAACCCCCCGGAATAAAAAGTCCGGACCGCAGAGGTCGGGGAATAAGCCTGGCCTTGTTGTTCGGTTCCCGTTAGGCCACGGGGCCCCGGTACAATGTTGCAGGGGCCGCCACGGTTGAATTTCCGGTCCATCCTCACCCCCTCTAATATTATAATCGCCAAATGGGGTGACGACCGGAAATCCGCATTCCGCCGAATACTTCCTCCAAAAAAATTCCCGGACGCTTTCCAGGCGACCGGAAATTCTCAGTGGCGACCGGGAATTGGCGATTTCGCTTGGGACTTCCTCGCAAATAAATTTCCGGTCCCAGTTATGTTGCTTGGAAGTTGCGATTCTGCTCGGTACTTCTTGCCAGTCATGTTTACCTCTCGGGGAGCGACGATGCAAGGGGGCCTGCAGTGCCGATCCGGACTTTTTAATCCAGGGGGTGGTTGCAAAAATGCCCTTTCCAAGCCAGCATGCGTCGTTCGAGTAAGACGTTTCCCCTGTCAGCGCTTGCGGATCAGCACTCGTGGAAAAAAGGAGTGGGGGTGGGGCGACCATGCTGTTGTGAGATCGCGTCGAATGGAATCACGTTTCGGTCGCGTCTCTCTGACTGCCGTCGCTGCCCCAAAGAAAGCGCGTTTGCGCGCTTTCGCACCTGTGCGAATTTTTAATTTTGCGTTCTTTTTTCCAGTAGACACCCGCCGAGGGCGCGCGAAGACCCGCCCTTAGGGCCTTCGGCAACTCGGGATTACCGACGCCACGGCCCGAGCGGCAAGACAGGTGGTCGGGATCCCAGTGGAGGCCGAGGGGCCTCCCAGAGTGCTGGAGGTACTTGGAGGGCGGTTGTCGCGCGGCCTCGGCGGGTGTCGCCCTGGGGGGGGGTCCAGGTGACTCCGTGCGCGTGAGCCCCTGCGCGGGGCGGGGGGGGTCTGAGTGGCCCCGTGCGAATGAGCCCCTGCGAAGGGCGAGACCGGTTGGGGCTGGGCGCGAAGGGGATTGGGAGATGAGTGGGCCTGGGCATGCGCGGGCGTCCGCGCGAGTGATGGCGTACGTGGATGGCACAACGTACTACCTTGACAAGACTGCAGCTGAACACGAGCACACGGTTCGCAGGTCTTTGGGGTCCCACGTCTGGAGGAAGTCTGACAACAGCGACGCTCTGCACGAAGACTGCGTGGGGCCTTCGAGCTACAACAAAGCTCAGGGCCAGCCAGTGCGGGTCTGGGGGATGCTGGCGGCTGGCGTGCTGCACGTGCATGTCTCGGACGAGGGCGAGGTCATGGATCGATCTGTTTATAGTGATCTTATAGAGGACAAGTTTGACGATTGGAAACTCAACTGCGATTTTCTTGCGTGCGATTCTGAGGGGTGCCTGCGGACGCCAAAACTCTGCACGCCTTGAGCCGCTGCGGCTTGAAGCTTGTCGATGAGTGCCCGAAAGTATCCCAAGATTTCAACGCCATCGAAAATGCATGGAAGATCTTGCGTGAGCGATTGGGCGAAACGTGCCCAGTCGAGCTTGAGCCCAGAGACGCGTTCGTCAGGCGTCTGCGGGCCGCTGTGCGGTGGGCGAACGCGCACAGGTCGGAACAGCTTTGGTATCTATCCACCAACCAGAAAGAGAGGGCGGCAGACTGCCTGCTCTCAAACCCACCCGGCGCGCGCACGAAATGGTGAGTGCGCTTCGTTCGGCGTGGGCGCCCGCTTTTTAGGTAGACACGTAGCAAAAGCGCGAGCGGTGGCGCTCTCGCGGTGGTCAACCCTCTGGAATAAAAAGTCCGGACCGCAGAGGTCGGGGAATAAGCCTGGCCTTGTTGTTCGGCTCCCGTTAGGCCACGGGGCCCCGGTACAATGTTGCAGGGGCCGCCATGGTTAAATTTCCGGTCCATCTTCACCCCCTCTAATATTATAATCGCCAAATGGGGTGACGACCGGAAATCCGCATTCCGCCTAATACTTCTTCAAAAAAAATCCCGGACGCTTTCCAGGCGACCGGAAATTCTCAATGGCGACCGGAAATTGGCGATTTCGCTTGGGACTTCCTCGCAAATAAATTTTCGGTCCCAATCATGTTGCTTGGAAGTTGCGATTCTGCTCGGTGCTTCTTGCCAGTCATGCTTACCTCTCGGGGAGCGACGATGCAAGGGGGCCCGCAGTGCCGATCCGGACTTCTTAATCCAGGGGGTGGTACCAGAGCCAGGACTGGAGATCCGAACTGGCATGTGAAATCAGATGCGCAGGCTGCAACAGCACCCTGGCCGATGCCTAGCCGACTGGGTGATCTCAAGCCCGAGACAGAGACCAACGACCGCCCTGGCACCCTCACCAGTGCCCCCTTCTCGGGTCGCTGTGAGACTCTTCAAGGTCCAGATCTCGGAGCGGAAGAATGCTAGGGCGCGGCTCTTGGATGCAGCCATCAGAGGTAGTGGCTGTTCGCAGGCAGCGCAGATCAGACTAGCGTTCGCAGAGATCAGTGCCAAAATAACCATCTCCGCCACCATTATCGAGGGGGTGCTAGATCTAGAGAAGTTCTTCGACATGATCGACATCCAGAACTTATCCTGGCAGGCCCTCCCTCTGGAATAATACACCGTGGTCCCGCTCTCCCTGGGAGTCCTGATCAACACCCACGTGAGGGTACTTACCACGCCCATTGGGGTCAGTGACCCTCTCGCTCCCAACAGAATCTACGCTGCAAGCTTGTGGACAGAGCGTTCCGTGGACTAGGGTCTTCCGTGGATGTGATAGTGTGCGTTGTCGAGTACCTCGTACAGGAATCCTGTACGAGGTACTCGACAAGGTACACTATCACATCCCAAGGCCCACCATCAGGCATGTGTCGACGACATCGAGGTTCGTTTCGTCGGCAGCCCAGATCCACTCGGACTTGATTGGAGAGGACACGCGAGAGGACACAAGACACTTCAGAAGGACACGCGAGAGGACACGCTAGAGGACACGCTAGAGGACACGCGAGAGGACGCCATAGGAGTGTAAGAAGGCACGTGTCGCGAGGCACAGGACACAAGGGTACCCTTGAGCTGGCAGGGTCGACCTACTGATCTAGGCCGACTGCATGCTCAAGCAGGCTTTTCTGATCTAGGATGTCAGTTTTCACCAAAGCAGGTTGTCCTGGCCAGCAATCCCGACCTCAGCAGCACAGTCGCGCACACCCTCCAGGAACAAACATCCAGCCCCTCAGGCACACCGAAGACCTCGGGATGGACGCCACTGTGGGTCGCCGACAAGTCCTGCAAGGTCGTGCTAACCGCAGGACTCTGGGACTGAGCCGGGCACGGAACAGAAGAGAGCTGGACAGGACCACGACGAAAGCATGAGCACTTTTTCGGACTGGAGCTGTAACCCAGATCTTCTGGGGAACGCAGGGTCAAGGAACCTCGCCCAAGGCAATCATGTTCTGCGCTGGCAGACAGCAGCAGAATTTGGGGTCTCGAAATCAGGAGCTGGCCTTAGCGCAGGACTTCATACCTTCAAGGCTGACCCCGCAGAAGTTGACCAAACGCTCTATCTCCGTTCTAGCCTCTTCCTGATGTGTTACTCAGGGGCCCAGACTCCTTGGATGGATTCAAAAACTTGCTTCCGACTACGAGGCAAGCTCCGATCGCACAGCAGGTGGCTCGCTGTCCAGTCAAGTCGCATCTTTCGGCAATCATCAACACCCTCAACGGTCCTGGCTGGGAACCAACCGCTGCATGGCATTGGTCCGATCCCTTAGGCTCAGCACCCCAGACCAAGCCACTCAGTTAAAACCAGCAGCAGCTTTTCCTTATCACATGGAGTTCACCCCCCGCATGAAGGTCTGGAGCCTCATTGCGCCCAGGGGCCCATCCTTCGGCACTGAAGCAAGGAGGAGGCGTCTCATCAATCTTTGTTCTGCAGGTCGTCAAGCCGCCGTCGTTCGGAAAAGCTTGGATGAATATGTAGGTGGAGGACCTCACCAGGGATCAGCAGGCTTCTGGCTAGCAGGAGCGCCAGCTGCAGTTATCTCACTCGCTGGCTCTACCTGCTGGAGCGGAGCCTGTCGTTTCGAGGCTGGACTCCCCTATGAAGCTGGCTGCCACATCTGCGGCACGCCGGCCGCCGATGACCTCCATGAGTTCTGGACCTGCCCCGAGCTCCCGTCCCTCGACCTGGCTGCCGCTCAGAAGATCCAGACACTGGTTCCCCAAGCCATCAAGCATAGAACTGAGGAAGGCTGTCTCGGGCTCCGATGGGGTCGTTCCAGCCACCTGGGGGATGAGGTTCATCTGCGTCCTAGGGGGCTCGGGAACGAGACCACTGGGACACCATGGACGCACACCTTCGACTCCGCGAATGGGGGGCAACTCTCTGGTCACCACCCACGCAATGTCTACAGGCCCCCGCAGGGCGGGAACGTAAACGTCTGGGGGGCCACAGGAGTTGCAGAGACTCTTCGGGGAATCTTCGGCAACACACCGTCGGGTGTCTGAGCTGCCCGTTGGATGAGGAGGAGGGGGGGGAGGAGGAGGAGGAGGAGGAGGAGGAGGAGGAGGAGGAGGAGGAGGAGGAGGAGGAGGAGGAGGAGGAGGAGCCACGATGGAGGAGGAAGAGGAGGAGGAGGAGGAAGAGGAGGAGGAGGAGGAGTGATGATGGGAGAAGGAATATGGAGGAGGATGGAGGGGGGCGACGAGGAGAACCTCGTTTCCCCTCTCTCGTATTTCCTTTTTCTGCTCCTCCGGCCGGCGGGCGGCGGAACAGCTCGGCCCACGCGACGGGCGTGTACCCGCCTGCTGCGGCGGAGGGCGAAAGATGAGGGGGCGGACCCAAGAAATCCGCACGGACTTCCGGGTTCATGTGCATGCAATTGTTGTTCGTTCCCTGGGGAAGGGCAGGAGGAAGGAAAAAGCGGGGAACTGAAAGGCAGTGGGCTGGGGAGGATGGCCAATTTAAACAAAACGGCGGCCCTCCTTGGCATACGTTTTCAGTCGAAGGTGTCTTGGGAGTCTCCCGCCGCCACGGCTGGATCCGTATCACAAGCGGATCCACATGGGCCCATTGGGCACGGGCGTGGCCTTGAAGGGGGGGGGCGATAAAACGCAGCAGCGCTTCCCAGCGGGAAGTCGCCACAGAGGGCGAGCGCAGTCAGGGCGCAGCGGCCGTGTTTGTTTTTGTTCCTTGGGCCGCGGGGACCGCAAGTTTCGGATCCATTCCCCGATCCAGGTCCAAGGAACGGCTCGAACGCCTGAGCCCCTCCTGGGTCAAAAGTGATCATTACTTGAACGTTTTGGTCGAAGGACCCCAAAAAACAAACAACAGGCGGACATGTTCATAGGTCCGCACGGACATCCATACGTGCGTCGTGTTGGCGGCTCTCGTTGGTCATGCAAAGGTCGAAGTGACGACGGCGGAACGGGGGCGGGACAAGTCAGCAGGGAAGAAACAAGACAGGGAGCATTATAATCCGAGGAGCGCACAGGAGGGGTCATTCGAGAGGGCGCGCAGCTCGGAGGACGCCAATGCAACACGTGCGCCCGATCGTCGCCACGCCCGGCCTGGGCCCGGGCTCGGCGAACACATTCTCCTGTCTCCTGGCGCAATGAATGCTCTGCGAAAGAAAGGACGCGCACGATCGCCACTTCCATTGCCACGTCCGTATCCATTGCGGCTCCGACGACGCAGGCGCCACTGAGGTTCGAATAGGTATGCTCGGCGTCCACCAGCTGATCCTGTCGAGAGGCAGCAGGGCACAAATGCGGCATGGCACGAGGAAGGACTAAAGGACACATTGGATACAGTGACGGAATTGAAACTGTACGTCGTGCGCTTGTGATCATCATTGCGTACCGTTGCCCTCCACTGGCGTTACCTGATGGAGCTGTTTCGTTTTCTGGCAACGAGCGGATGACAATGAGTACTGTATGGAAAGGAGGTGATGGGGGAAAAAGATGGGGGACATGAGGGACAACAGCAGTCGAAACCACCAAACACAGATGAGCCGCGCGACAGAAAAAAACACCCACATGGCAGCGCCAATACACACGTGACAGGTGGCAAGCGAGGCTGGAGGGTGAGGACGAGGACGAGACCGAAGACCAGGACGAGAACCGGGGGAATAAACAATGACAGCAACACAAACTTCCGCAACTCCGCGAGTTTCTGATATTTCTGGCATCGACGCCGGAGACCCTTGGCGGCGCCTTCGGAGCCGCCGCTGGCGGGCTCCAGCGCAGATTCAAGAAACCCGCGCTGACCTCCGAAACTCATTGTTTAAGTCAATGCT